TGCCCCAGTTGGGTCGCGCCGCCGACTCGCGTCCTTGCGGTCTTGGTTGTGGTTGCGCCGTGGAGGCCGCTGGAGCGGTCGGCGCTGCCGGCGCGGCCGCTGCCCCGGCGCCGCCGCGGGCGGCGCCGCTTCCCCCGCCGACGCCGCGCGGGCTGGCGGCGCAATCACGGGGCCCGCTGGCGCTGCAGATTCTTGCGCGCGGCCCGCGAATTCTGCCATCCGCCGCCCTTGTCGTCGCAGTTCCGAAAGTTTGGGCGATGACGAAGATGGGGGTGACGCGCCTACCCACTGTGACCAGCGGCCGCGGCCATCTCGTTGCCGAGGGCCGTCTGGCGACGCACTTGGAGCGGCTGCTGTCGCTCTCGGCCGCGTCGCCGGCGCTGCTGGAGTCGGATGCCCGCCCGCCCGTGGGCCAGCGCCCTGCGTGAAATCGCCATCCCCAGGGCCCCTGGCCGAGGGGCAGCGGAGTGCCAGGACCGCCCCTAATCATCCGCGCGGCGCATGTGCCTGGCGAAGGCAGATGCTCGGACGCCCCGCTGCCCCAGCCGCGCGAGCGGCGACAATGCTGGCGGCGAAGGCGGCGCCAGGGCGCAGGCGCTGAGCAAGGGGGCGCGCCCTCGCCTGCGGCGCTGGGGGCAGTCGTTCACGAGGCGCCCCTGAGGCTTGCACTCGCGGCATTTGAGACGCGGCCCACCATGGCCGGGGGCGTTTGCCCTGGCGGCCCGAACCCGCGCCGCTGGCCCTGCACTTCCCCTTGCCTCTGCCTTTGCCTTTGCCCTTCCGCGAGCCCGCGAAAGCCTCCCGGGCGCCGTTGTCGCGCGGGTCGGCCAGGCAGGTGCGGCGGCCTTGTTCGATGACCCCCTGGGCGCAGCGCGCGGGCTTCCAGCGCCGACGTGCTTCGGCGCGCTCGCGAGCCCCAAAAAGGTGCCCACCGCGCCGCCCCACTGGAAAGCCGCGCAGCTCGGGGCCGTCTGCGGCAATTTCTTCGCCGAAAGAGCGGGCGGCATCTGCGTCTATGCCTGAGTCGACGCCTGCCATGGGGAGGTCCCCTGCGTTGGCGCCGCCGCGCTGGCGTCGCCGGCGGCGACTGCCGGCGCGGGCGGGCCTGGCGCCGCCCCCAGCGCAGCTGGACCCGTGCCGTTCCCTCTCGATCCGGCCACGGCGCCACAGGCATCCTGAACCTGATCTCGAGTGGGCGCGCCCGTCAGGATGGCGCGCTGTCGGGCGCAATGGGCCGCCGAGGCGAGATTGTCCGACGCCTCGATCGCGCGCTCAAAGCGCCGCAGGCGGCCCATCGCGCGCGCGAGTTGCTGGACCTTCGCGGCGCAGGCAATATTGCGGCGAGATCATGGTCGGTTGGACGTTCGACGCGCCAGCCGCGCACAGCAGGAGGAAGCTGAGACCCTCGTGGCCGATCGTGAATCGACCGACTTGCTGCGCCCAAGCCCGCGGGATGGCGAATCTCGCGAGGAGATTGTCCATGCGCTCTTGAAGCGGCGCTCCACCTCGCCCAGTTGGCCCCGCCGTTCCTGCGCGTCGGGAGGATGATCGGCGGCGCTGGGTCGCCGTTGACGAGGCCCCCTGGACCACGACAGCTGGCGGCCGTTCGCCCGCGCACTCGCGCGCCATGCTGGCGAGGCGCGTCGAGTCGCAGGCAGCCTGGCGAAACTCGTTAGGGCCTGAGTTCACCGGTGACCAGATCATCACCTCGCGCACCCATCTCTGGAAGAGGCACTCGAGCTTGCTGCTCGGGCCCCCAAGTTCGGAGGCGCAGCGCGCTGCCGCTGTCGCCGCCTGCGCCCGCGCGGGAGATGCTGGTGGCGATGGCAACGACGTCCACCCCGATGGCCTCCCATCCAGCGCGTGGCTCCCTCTGCGCGTCACATTAGCGCTGGAGGCCAAGGATCGACCAACGGCTCTGCTCGTGAAGTGTGCCTCCGAGCCGCCGTGGATGCCCGCCCGGGACGGGTTCCTCCTCGTCTGCCCACTGGGCGCGGGATGCGGCGCTCTCGGCGCTCGGGGCATCCCGGAGCGCAGGCAGGGGAGTGCTTCTCGCACGTCGAAGCGTCACTGTGCTGAGCGCCGCCAACTGCGCGATCATCGACAGGAGTGCGCATCGGGACGCAGCCCTGCCGGGCTGATGGGGATGCGTGGGCGAGGCAAAAGGTCGCGCACCAAGGGGTCGGCGGGTTCTCCCAGATCCGCTTCGCTGTCCCTCGGAGCCCTGGCGACACAGTCGCCATACCCCCCATTGCATCCCCGCTCTTCTCTGGTTGATCCTCACAAGGCTTTCATGACGCTGTCACCAGAAGCCTGGGGCCCTTACCAGACACCGCAGAAATCAACGTTGTGCAGAGCAGCGATAGGAGATGTGCGACTACATCCACAAGCGGGTGCATTGACGGCAGGAAGTCCGCGAACTGCGTTGACGCAATCAATGCAAACCCGGGAGGGATCGCTCAAAACTTCGGCGCGCCACGAGGTTCGTCGTCGTCGTCGTCAGCGGCGCGGCCCGGGTCCTTGTACGTAGGTTTGACATACTTGTTGGTATGCATGTTGATGCATTGTTTGATGCCAAGGTGCACCAAGGCGAAACTTATAATGGATATATCGCTGAGCGGCCAGCATGATGAACAGCGAACAGCTTGATGTAGAGCGGCGGAGGACGCGAGCTGGCACCATCGAAGCAATGCAACACATGGCGGCCGTGGTATTGGAGCCGAGGCCCCGCCACCAACTCGAGAAAGTGATGTGAGGGGTGAGTGTGAGAGATGAGCTACTTCTGTAAAGCGAATGGAGAACGATTATTTCAGCATGTATTATAGCGGGCGCGTGCAAGGATCCATTTGCAAACGGCAGCGGGATGGCAGGCCAACTATGGAACAGGCAAGGATGAGGTGAGACAGGTAGGAAGAGGAGGAAAAGGGAGATGGGAGGAGGAGGACCCCATGTGGGAGGCCGAGAAGGGGGGAGATGGAGGAGGGGGGAGGGAGGGGGAGGAAGGGAGGGAGGGAGGAGGGAGGGGGCAGGGAGGGAAGGATGGAGGGAGAGACGGTGGAGGTCTTCATCGGGGACCTGCAAGCCTTCCGGGAGGAGGGCGCGCGCGAAGGCAGCGCGGGCGAGGCGGCACACCTCGGAAGGCGTGTTGCGAAATTTCCCACCGTTCCCCGTCCGCCACCCCCTCCCCGGCCGATGGCGGCCGCGTGGGCGGGCAAGGGGCCTTCGTGTCCTCTGGCGCGGGGCCCACGAGGGAGGACAGGTTCGGGAAAGCCGTTGGTTATGAAGATGTATCACGCGACGGGTGCGCCGTGCTCACCGGACCCGGTGGCGAGCCCGTTCATGGTGCCGCCCCTCGTCTTCACGCTGGTGATCGTGATGGTCGTGCTGGGCCTGGAGGTGAGCGGTTCCTAAAGGATCTGCGTGACTCTGGAGGCGATCTACGTGTCGCTGGAGGCGGTCCTCGGCACGCAGCAGCAAATCTACGCGACGCTGGGGGCGACCCTCGAAAAACTTGAGGTGATCTGCGTGACGCTGGAGGCAGTCTTCGGTACGCGAGAGATCTACGAGACGCTCGGGGTGAGCTGCGTGACGCTGGATGCATCAGCTTCGGGTGTTGCTAGAAGTGCCCCAGGCTCAAGGTGCCCCCCGGGATTTCCAGCGAGACCCCCACGGCCGCCAGAGCACCCCTCACGAGGCCCAGAGGGCCCCAGGGGCTCGAAAGTTGAGCGGAAAGCTGGGGGCACATTGGGCAAGGGGTACCCCCAGCAGCCCCCGACTATTGAACTCTGGACGCTGCCTGCGGGACGCTGGAGGCGGTATTCAGGATGATGCTGGCGATCGTGGCACGGGCACCGCTGAGAACGTGACGAGGACGTCCTCGAGGGGACGCCCTCGAGGCAACAGGCCGCCGGCGAGGAGGACGTCCTCGAAGGAGCCGCGCCTGCTCGCGGAGGGCTCCACTAGGGTGCCGCGGGAGGGGGGGGAGGGCTCCTGGCCGCGCCAGGCCCGTGCGGGCATGGGCCACGTCGGCCTCGCGACGAAGCTGCTCAGAAACGCGCGTGGCAGCCCGAGCCCGTTGAACTCCGCGGTAATCGGCGGGATGAGCTCGAAGCGCAAGAAGAAGGCGAAGAAGAAGAAGGCGAAAAAAAATAGGAAGGAGAAGAAAAAAAAACATAACAAGAGGAAACGTAACAAGAGCAAGAGCGAGGACCACGACAACAACAGCAGGAAGGTCCACGACGAGCGGGCGTACTCGGGGTCGTCGAGGCCACAGAGTCGTCCGAGGCCGAGGCGGCTGTGGGGAGGGAAGCATGCTGCGAGTCCGCCCTCCCCACCGCGGCCTCTGCTCCTGCAGCCGGGGCCGCGCGTCGGGGGGTGCAGGCCTGGGTCGCCCATGGGCGAACGGGGGGTCCTCTGCCGGCTGCGTGAGGCCAGAGCTGAGGAGCTTTGGTCCGCAGATGGCATCTCGTCTGCCAGTGTGCCTGAGAGGCCGCGTCGCCACGTCGCGGCGGCCAGGTGTATTTGCTTGAACAGCATGGCCATGGCCCCTCCCTCCGTCCCATCTGCCCTCCCCCCCCTCCCTAACCCCATTATCCCCCCTTCCTTCCCCGAAGCACTGATCGGTCTCTCCCTCCCTCTCTCACCCTTGCCCTCCCCCCTCCCGAGAAAAAACACCTCACCTGGCGGAGGGGCGTTGGCAGAGGGGAAGGTTCGGGAGTCAGCGGACGCGGCCTTCAGAAGGTCAGAACGCTGCCAGACACGGCGGCAGGCTCACCGTCAGTTCGCGCGCCCGCGAGCGGGGTACTTACAGTCGGACCTTGGCCAGAAGAACGTCATTCAAGAACATGGGACCCTCCTCCGACCAAAACACGCAGAACGTCCTAGGGTATCATCCCCAGGATGCATAAGAACACCCAACAAACACGAAGAACATTAGGGTACCCTCCCTGGACCGACCTCGATCTTATACGTACTTCGGTCCGACTGTATGTCCTGACGGTCCTGGCCAAAGATCTCCGCGGAGGGAAGGTCGGCCCGAGAGCAGAAGCGAGGAGTACGCAACACGTCCCGAACTGTCCTGGATCCCGTCCGTCCGCGCGCTCGCGAGCACGGAGCCTTCTTGCAGGGCTCCGGGCGAGGCCCGGGCGCTCACGCTCGAAGGCCTCCGCGGCGGAGAGTTGGTCCAAGAACAAGGGGGGGGGGCGTGCCGAGTTCCGTCCCGGACTCCTGGGTGGGCACGGCTCTTCTGTGGCATGGCGAATCACGAGGAGGGCGCGCTACGCCAAGAAGCCTGCTGTGCAACCGAAAGGCAGCAAAGCCTCGTCTCGGAGCAGGCCCCACGTCCCTCTACATGCTGCGTGGTGCAGAGGAGAGTCAACGCGCGTGGGTCCTCTCAAGGCCCCCCCTCCCCAATGCAGCCTAAGCCTCAAACCTTGGAGAAGTTGCCAGAAGCCCAGGCACAGTCTAGTGTGATGCGCACGGGCGGTTCTAAATGCGTAGCAGCACAGAACCGACATCGAGGAGTTCACGGCACCTCCCAACATGACATGCCTCCTGCGCGTGCCCCAACCCGCCTTACATATGGCGGCACATGTGTCACAAAACAACTCGCGAAGGTTGGCCTTCAAGTAGAACTACAATCGAAGCGGAACTGCACGAGTCTCGCGAATGAACAAACACAGGTCATTGCATCTGTTACCGTTCACGTTTCAAAGAAATTGCTATACAAGTGCTTGAGTGTCGAACGCCTTGATTGAGCACTCCAGCTACACCAGGCGGGGGGCCTCACATGTCCTCACGAGGGTGAGCGCTTTTGACTCGCAGAGGCGTGCAGGCGCAGATTCACAGAACCTGCTGACGAATCCGAAATACATACAAAAAAGTGTTTTGTGAGCCTGTACACGGCCCCATCTCACATGTCCTTGCATAGAGATGAGGCGAGGCCTTATGGAAACCGTGGAACATGGGAGGCAATATAGGGAGAGGGGCAACGCGTCACAAATGAGAGCGATGGATGTCGGGATGAAGGATAGCGCGGTGATAAGGCCAAGGAAGAAACTGACCCCCGCAGACAAATGTTTGGACCGAGCGGAATACCACGTGTGTATCCAGATCAGTGGTGCAAGCCGAACCACGGTAGATGAAGCGAAACATACAGCCGCCACCCAAGACACGTTTCACACAACCAGTCCAAACTGCAACGAGTGTAACGACGACACAAGTAGGCGATAAATAAGAACATCGTGACAAACAAGTCTCGGACCCAACACGCAACTTGATACACGACAAGCTTGGAAGTATCAGTGCCCAACGAAGAGAACGAAGTGTGAGGAAGGGGCACAGAGAACACGAGAGAGAAGGAGAGAGAAGGAGAGAGAGATAGGGGGAATCGATCACAGGACAGCAAGAAAGCGGGCAGAGCATGCGAACGCAGCCACTGGAGCCTTCGGTGGAGCTCCCTGTGGGGCCACGTTCCTCGTGAGTGGTGTGCTGACATGGGCGCGAAGCCGCATGCGAACGTAGCCACTTGGGCCTTCGGTGGAGCTCCCTATGGGGCCACGATCCTCGTGAGGCTGCGGTGGAGCTCCCTGTAGGGCCACGATCCTCGTGAGGGGTGTGCTGGAATGGGCGTGGTGCCGCCATGGGAACGCAGCCACTGGGGCCTTCGGTGGAGCTCCCTATGGGGCCACGATCCCCACGAGGGGTGTGTTGGAATGGGCGCGGTGCCGCCATGCGAAGCCAGCCTCTTGGGCATTGGGTGGAGCTTCCTATGATGCCATTAAACGCGTGAGGGTGCAGAAACGGAAACCTTCGGAGGGCAGGGGCACGGATGGTAGGATGGGAGCCCCTCCGAACTTCTCCACCTCCTCGCCTCCAGCCTCGTCCGCGTCCTAGCTCGTGTCGAGGGCGCCTCGCCAAGCGGAGCGCCAGAGGCATGGGCGACGAGGGCCGCGCGTGGGACGCTGAGTTAGGAACGAAGGGGCTTCCCTGGCCAGGCCGACCTGGATCGAAGGAGCGGCCGAAAGTCAGAACCCAAGCCAAACGACTCTGAGTGTGAAAAACAGTCGCGCCCGGATCTCAGGGCACCGTTTCTTACAAACCGCCGGCTACCGGCGAGCTCCACCACCGCGGGCACCGCCCTGGCCTCTGGACGAAGCTGGCCGCGCTCCAACCCAACCTGGGCCCGCAGTGGCCCTTGTTACAGCTTCTTGACTGACTGTGGGCGACGACGAACTACAGAAACATACGCTGTCAAAGCTGCGCTGGCCCCCCCTGGCGCGCTGCGCTGGCCAGGGAGGGGGACTCAACCCCGATCCCAGAAATCCGCGCGGAGATCCGGAAGTGTACGCTTATGAGAGCAGGCCAGCATATGGAGACGAATGGAAGCAGACGAGAAGGGAGGCACACGAGAAGGGAATCAGACGAGAAAGGAAGCACACACGAGGAGAAGCAAACGAGACGGGAAGGAGATGTGTGTGAGTGCGTGTGTATATGTGTGTC